CTGAGAGGGTATGGTTTTGAACAGAACCTGTGCATTTTTTCCCCTCCATTTTTAAGGATCCGAGGAGTATCAGAACCCAGCAGACCTGGTTTTGAATGAGGTGGGTTGGAGCTAAGATGAGTACGTCTTCAGGGAATGCTAGACTCTGCAACCCATCTATGTAAACTTAATTTGCTGCCAGTTTGGTTGCGTTTGGAGAGGTCTTGCATTGTAGTGACTAGATCCTGTGAGCTCTGTGGTGGTATAGATGTGGGGCCATTGGGTCAAGGGGCAGGGCTAGAGTCTAAAGAAGATAAGCCGTCATGAGGTGTGGACCATGTCAGGTGTGAGGTGGAAAGTGTGTTGAACTGGGAGTTGAACGGATCTGGGTTCTTGTTGGAAACTTTTCCCTTAGGTTCCTTCATCTGCAAAGTGGAATTTAATAGCAAGGCCCCTCTCATCTCTCCAAACGACTGGAGAGTAGAAGTGCTTTGTAGCACATCTCTCTGTTACCACTTGTCCTTGTACTTTTCTTCAGGTGCTGAACTGGGCAGATTTCAGCATGAATACAGAAGCGCCAGCTTGGTGCTGGGATATGCTCAGATACATTCCCCTCTTCCTACTGTCCTTGTTTGCACTTCTAAGTGTCCTTTCTTCCCACCCTATTTGCAACTGAAGGGATGGTTTAGCTTTCCATCTGCTGGTCTAAAACATGCTACCAAAATTTGGAGGTGGATGGCATCCCAGCAAGGAAGAAAGCAGGGATGTTCAAGCCAAGGCTAGGGGCCATCGGGCCTCTGAATTAAAATGTTATTTTCACATGGCTTCTTTGGTTAACAGTGGTTATGGATGTGGCTCCAGCATGCTAGGACAGAGAGGTTCAATGTCATAAATCTTTGAAGTTCCTGAGGGAGGCCATGAGTTTACCGGAAATGGAATATGATGAACTTGAGGTCTTTTTTCAGATCTGCTGATTCGATATGTCTACATGTATCTGATTTAAAGGTTGCTCAAAGAAGATACCCTTTATCTTGGTGATGGGAATAGACACACCAGATGAGAAAGGCCAAAGTGTTGATTAGAGTGGCTTGGCCACGTGAAACTAACTGTTGGAAAACTCAGTTAGGGTCAAAACTAGATTGATTAGCTGCCTCAAAAGAAATTAGACCCATCATTGGTTGGGGCTGGAGGATTCGCTCCCTTTAGTAGGTTTCTGGGTTTTTGGCATAGGGCTGTCATGAATCAGAGCCAGCCAAATGGAGCAGTTATAGGGGAATCTGCCCCAAGAATCTGCTCATCTCTCCTTGGCTGTGGGAAAAGTAAGAATTAACTGTGGGGCTCAGTGTAGTATTTTTGCTTCTTTGTTTAGCATGTTAGCATGAAGTATCTTGGCTATTCCAGAATCTCAGGAAGGCTGCTGTCATGGCTCTTAGGTGACTCCAGAAATATTGAGGACCTTTCCAAGGTGGTTGGGGACCCCTGTCTGCTCTCTGTATACTGTAGCTTGTGAGAGTGTAGCCTTTGAGGGGCCTGATGCTGGGTAACTGAGTGCAACCTCCAACTTGATCCCTTGTTTAAGGTAACTTTACTGCTGGGTCAGCGGTAGAGAATACCAGCTTTGTTTCTTTCCTTCTTGGATTGCTCCTGAGGGGTGGGGTGGGGAGTAGGGATAAATTAATGTTTGGATGATTGAGAGTCCAAATTGACAGTCCTTGTCCCAAGCCATTCAGGTCAGATGTATTTCAGAAGTCAGAAATTTTTGGATTTCAGAAAGGTAATACAGGGGCACCTGGATGGCTCAGTTTGTAGAGCACTTGACTCTTGATCTCGTGGTTGTGAATTCAAGCCCCATGTTGGGTGTAGAGCTTACTTAAAAAAATCAGAAAGTAATACAATGAATGTGGAATATTTTATATATACTCCCAGTGGGATCTGGGGTAACATCCTATAATCAAAAGATTATTATTATCATTATTATTATTATTCTTTTAAAGATTGATTTATTTTAGAGAGAGAGATTGAGAAAGAGAGCATGAGCAGGGGGAGGGGCAAGGGTAGAGGGAAAGATAGAATCTCCAGCACACTCCCTGCTGAGCCAGAGGAGCCTGACGTGGAGCTCAATCTCACGACCCCCGAGATCATGACCTGAGCTGAAATCAAGAGTCAGATGCTCAACCGACTGAGCCACACAGGTGCCCCTAAAAGATATTATTTTTTATGGAAGCCATATGAATACTCATCATAAGTGGAATAAATAAGTCCATAAATAGTCTCAGCTCAGTTCAAGTCATACTTGCTACCAAATTAGCTTTGAAAAAAACCCAACTTCCGGTTTTTAGAGCTTTTTAGATTTGGTGATTACCAGTGAAGGATTATGGGCCTGTAATTGTCATTGATTTTGCACTATTAATCAAATTGATCCACAGGGGGAAAGGCTCGTTCTTGGTGGATATTTCCTTGGCTGGGTTCTCTAATCAGGTATTTTACGGGTAATGGACTCCTGGCCACATTCCTTTCAAGACCCTTTCTCTTTTCCATTCTTCTTTCTCTTCCTCTTGGTAGGGATTCAAGCAGGTGTCTTTCTTTGTAATGATTTTCCTTATAGTGCCCTTTATTTCTAAATGTAGATTTTGAGAGAACCGAAGAGCCAAATGCTAAAGAATATACACATGACAGAGCCAAACAAGTGCGTAATGCAGATTACTTATTTTTTTAAAGATTTTATTTATTTATTTGATAGAGAGATAGAGAGCACAAGTAGGCAGAGCTTGCAGGCAGAGGGAGAGGGAGAAGCAGGCTCTCAGCTGAGCAGGGAGCCCGATGTGGGGCTGGGTCCCGAGACCCTGGAATCATGACCTGAGCCAAAGGCAGCCGACTTAACTAACTGAGCCACCCAGGCGCCCCATAGCAGATAACCTATTTTAATAAATGCTCACAGCAAGATAGGGACACACATCAATGACTTTGTAAACCACACCATTAAATCACTGTAGAGGAAGGAACTCCACAAATATGAGTTTCATTCTTTCATTAATCCTTAGTCCTGTTGAATGTCTCTGACTCCTATAGTAGTCCAGGCCAAGGTCAAACAGTCATCATATCTGGCTGCCAGGAGTGGTTGAATCTCCTGGGGCATTTGTTAAACATGCAGATTCCTGGAGTCCCAGACTTTTGAGGTCAGCATTCCTAATGGGGGAGCCCAGGAATCTGCATGTTCAACCAGTTGCTCTGAAGGGGTTTCTTTGTCTCCCTTGAGAACCAGTGCTTTGATGAAGGTCATACAGATGCAGTTTTTCTATAACCCAGGCCTAGGTCAAACCAAGTAGCATGGAACTGATTTGACTCTTAGAAGGACAAGGTTCTTCTTGTTTGGTTTGCTCTGGGGAGGAGAATAGAAGAGTAGAACTACCTGGTCATGGTCAAGCCAATCAAATGTGGGGGAGGAAAAATAATTTTCCCTCTGCCCTTCTAGGTTCTTTTTTTTTTTTTTGGAAAGAAAGATTCCATTTATAGGTTTATTTATTTTTTAAAGATTTTATTTATTTAATTGAGAAAGAGAGAATGAGAGACAGAGAGCACGAGAGGGAAGAGGGTCAGAGGGAGAAGCAGACTCCCCGCCGAGCAGGGAGCCTGATGTGGGACTCGATCCCGGGACTCCAGGATCATGGCCTGGGCCGAAGGCAGTCGCTTAACCAACTGAGCCACCCAGGCGCCCCCTTCTAGGTTCTTGACTGAGACCTCCCCCGCTCCCGACAATGTAATAAAAGACCAGTTAACAGGAGAAAAACAAATGGAGGTTTAATAGTATGTATACCTCCTGCAGACATGGGAGAGACCCAGGAAAATTGAGTAACTCCCTGAAGGCCCAAGCCACCACCTTAAATACCATCTCTAGCCTAGAGGCAAAAGGAAGACATTGGGTGGTAGGGGTAGGGTAGGGCAGAAGGCCAGTTATGGGAGGGGACCAGGAAAAGCATGGTAATCAAGGGTAAGGTCATTATGAAGGTTGAGGTCAGTGTCTTCTCCATTGATAAGAGTGTCTAGAGTTTGAGTCATCCTTCTTTTCCTGGTATGGGGGGTGGGGCATTCTTACAAATGGAGATTTCCCTTAGGATTGTAAATGTCTCCTACAAAAGGGTAACTTCTCACTTTTCAGTGCTTTTCCTATGTCTATTGTTTCTTAAAAAAATAATCAGCCTAAAATAACCCTTATGCCAAAGAGACATATTTCAGGGTGGCAAATTCTGCTCCCCTTCAAAATCAAAGGGAGGCTTGGAGCCTGGGCATGGCAATATTGGTAGGGTTGCTAGATAGAATGCAGGAGGCCCAGTTAAATTTGAATTTCGGATAAACAATGAATAATGTTTTTATATAAGTATATCCTAAATATTGCATGGAACATACTTACACAAAAACATTATTCGCTGTTTATCTGAAATTCAAATTTAACTGGGCGTCCTGTGTTTTTATTTGCTAAATCTGGCAGTGCTGGGTATTGATTAACCCACCCTTCCCCGTGGGAGGCAAACCAGATGGCATTTATGTACTTGGTCCCATTCATGGAATACATTTTTGTTTGTGTTGGGTTAAAAGCTTCTCAGACTGGCTACTATATCATATTGATGTTGAAGGGTTGAAAAATTGAGTCTTGTTCTAGAGGTTAAGAGGAAATGTTCTAGAGGCAAAAAAAAAAAGGCCTAAGAAAGGCTTTTTCCATCTTGCCCCCAAACACTCCTTCACTCTCTATCCCTCTCCCTCTCCCCCACTGTATCTCTCTCTCTCTCTCTCACACACACACACACACACAAACAAATGTCCACACACCTAGATGCCTGTGCAAACAGAAACACGTTTGGAAAACCACCTGCTTGCCTTTTTAAGTTTTTATATTGCATTTTTCATGTTAGAGTTTGGTTATTTATTATTACTGTTATCATTTTACTGTTGTTATTGAAGTAACATTGTCTAACCGTGTCCAGTACTGCTCTTGATAACCATACTTAACTCTTTTTTAATTGCAGATCTTTCTCCTGGCCTGCCCTCCATGTCCTGGGGCTATCGTCGTCTTCAAGTAAGGGAAAATTGGTTTTTGCTCTGTTGCCATTGCTATTCCGAATGTTCTGTCTTTGTGATAACCAAGGGTGATGAGCACATTGATGTGAACATCTTGGGCCTGCCCCCGCTTTGTCTCTGGGCTTCCCAAGGAACAAAAGTCTGTGAGGCCCAGTGAAACATGGGGATATTATATGCGGAGATTTGGCTTTGGTCAAGCCCTGACAAGTCCTTTTTAGTGAGTGTTTGTGGTGGTGGTTTATGGCCAAGTCCTGCTCCCTTGGAAGGTTGCTGGCTTCCTGCAGTTTCTCTCGAGAGCATGCTGGGGGCCACGCGTGGCTTCCCTCCTCTCAAGAATCATTGCCCTGTGGTCCTGCTGCTTCCCTGAGGAGCTGATTCTTCACTTTGAAGACCTTTGTTCTTATGTTTCCGTGGTTTTTTTTTTTTTTTTCCCTTAAAGTGCAAATTAAAGTGAGGGGAAGAAAAAAATCACCTTTACAAGTCCTGACTTTCTTAAAAATAGCAAGCATCAAATCCATTAAAGTGTACTGCAGGCAAATCATGTTTATCTGAAGGCAAGTTTGCTTAAAGGAAATTCTCAAGAGTCCCAGAACCCTCCTTTTAACCACAAGTTGTGACCATCTCGCTTATCAAGCCTTTTTATTGGAGTTGCTAATGAGCAGCTAAATTGACCAAATTAATTCCATCTCTTTCCCCCTTCCCCGGCCCCCATTTTGGAGCTGTTCCTGAGCAGAGGAGAAAGGAAGTGAGGGGCCCAGCAGATCCTTGGGTAATCGAAGAGTGGTGTAAATGGCTTTCTGATTTACTTAAGTCATTAAAGTGTTAGATAGGGGGAAATATACCCCATTTGCTGCTTCTAACAGCTCCTTGGAATAGCCACTTAGTCTCTTGCCTTACGTGAGTAACTTTCTGCTGGATGAGGGCAAATGGATCCTGATTTCATATATCTTGTACTTGAAAAGCTCCTAAGCGGAAGGCTATTTAACCGTTTCCCTCCTTTCACTTCCCAAAATGAGCTCTATTTTTCAGTGTAATGTTTTAAAGTAACATTTATTGGTTTTATTTCATAATTATTAAAGTAACAATTCTCATTAGAGGAAATACAGAGACACACAAAAAAGAAAATAAACATCACTCTTAATCTACCACCAAGAAATAATTTTGGTTACTGCTTTTTTTTTTTTTTTCTTAAGAAGCAGAGATCATATTTAGGATTCTTACTGTATCTTTTCTAAATTTAACTCAATTTGTATATATGTGTATGCATATGAAAATACATAAACATGACTGCGAAATTTCTTTTTTTTTTTAGAGTGGTTCTATTTTTTTTCTTTTGTCCTTGTTTTGTTTGACTCCTACCTCTGCCTTTCCACACCTGCAGGTTACCAAACCAGTATATATCCTTCCAGATTTTTCTCCACGCTCATTAGGTGTACACACATGCACAGGGATTTTGGAATGTTTTACTGTTGTTGTTCACTGCTTGTTTTACAAAAATAGAATCTTATATATACTGCAATACATCTTGCTTTTTCACGCAACAGTATCTCACGGGGATCTATCAAAGTTTATTGGTATACCTTATTCCTTTACAAAGCTGCAAAATATTTCATGGATGCACAACTTAGCCATTCTTCTCATTCCTTTTTAAGATTTTATTTTTAAGTAATCTCTCTGCTCAACATGGGGCCCGAACCTCTGACCCTGAGATCAAGAGGCCTGTGGTCCACTGGCTAAGCCAGCCAGGTTTTCCTAGCTCTTCTTCTATTCGTGAATGTTTATATTCATGCTTTCCATATTGCTGCCACTATAATCAATGCTGAAATCAACATCATTGGGCATATGCCCTTAAATACTGGTGCTTTCAATTTATACATACACACACACACACACACACACACGAATGTTTACATATAAATATACATATTTATGTTAATAGATATTTCCATACTGATATACAAAAATAGGCTGTTACAATTCACTTTCCCCGTTTGTATGTAATATATGAGATTATTCTTTTCTTCATATCCATACCAGCATAAGGTGTTATGATTCTTTTATAATTTTTGACAACTTAATGCATACATTTCCTTGGCTACTAATGAATTTCAGTATTTTTTTATCCAATTAAATTTGTTTTTTGAATTGTCTGTTCATACCATCTGCCCCTTTCTTATGGGTTGCTTAGGTTTTCTTAATTTGTAAGACTTCTTTGTATATTTTGGATATTGGCCCTTTGTCTATCAGCATTATTATAGATATTTTTCCCAAATCTGTATGTGCTGACTTGGCTGATGGTATATTTTTCTATGTGTTTTTTTTACATTTTTTCATATTCAAATATGATTACTTTCTTACAGCTTCTGGATTCCCAGTTTTAGTTAAGATGATTTTCTTAAAGATGGCTAACTAGTTGTGCTAGCATGATATATTACATAATCCCTACTTTCCCCTGTGAACTGAACTACCATTTTTGTCACCTATTAAACTTTTTATATATGAGGATCCATGCAAGGATTCTCTATTCTGTCCCATCTGTTTGTCTGTTTGTGCACTCAAATCATGTTGATTTGATTACATTAGCTTAAAAAATATTTTTCTTGTCTATTCATCGGCATTTTTTTTCTTACATGTAAATTTGAAGATCACTTTTATTCAGCCCTCCCCACCAGCCCTATTTGGATTCTAATTAGAATTGCATTAAATGTATATTTCAGTTTCTGTGAGAACTGATGTTTTAAAATCATGTAGCTCTTTTAATCCAAGAAATGGTATTTTTTTCCATCTGTTCAGATCTCGTTTTATGCCTTTCTTGATACATTTATTCCTGAGGAATTAATAGCTTTTCTGTCCGAGTTGAATATTGCTCACCTTTCCATTCCTAAGTGCTTCTTGCTAGACTAGAAAAAGGTTATTGATTTTAACAGTAGTCCTCATATCTAGCCATCTTCTCTTGTTAGTTTTGGTAAAATTTATTTTTATTTTATTCTGTCTTTCCGATGGTTACACCAGTAATTTTCTTCGGTTTTTTTCTTTTGCTTGAAACTCAGAGTGAAATAAAAATGGAGCTGGTGGGCCACTGTGTCTAAATGGATTTTAAATGGAGATTGTTTCTCCATATTTGCTGTTGGTGTTGGTTAAATAGCCCTATTACATGTGAAGAGTTTCCACATGTACTTAGAGATATTTTCAAAGAAAATGGTTCCTGCATTTTATCAAATGCTTTTTCATGTCTGTTGAGTATGGGTTTTTTTTTTTTTTTTCTGTTTAAGTTTTTGATACAGTGAGTTATGTGGATAAATTTTCTGGTTTCCAATTACTCTTATATACTGACGTAAGTCCTGCTGGTCACAGTATATTATTTTGATGCATTGCTGGATTCCATTTGTCAATCCTTTGTTTAGAACCCTTGCTTCAAAATTCATATGTGAGATGGGAGTCATTTTTTGGGATTCTTTTCATCAGGTGTAAGGATTAAAATGGAATTGCAGAGCACTTCTTTTTCTCTGGCCTGGAATAATTTAATTACCCTTAGAAATTACATGTTAATTTTTTTTACCTTTTTAAAAATTATTTTTCTTTCCTTTCTTTTGTTGTTGTTGTTGTTTTTAGAAATTATGTGTTTTTTGTTTTTTTTTAAAGGTCAGGTAAAACTCAACTGTGAAGCTCCTCTGGTCCTAGTGCCTTTTTCAGTTGGTATACCCTTAACCACCTTTCCAGTGTCTTCTATGGTAATTCATCTATTCAGATCCTTGGGTCAATTTTGGTCATTTATCATTTACTGGGGAGTTACCTGTTTCTTCTGAGTTTTCAGATTTGTTGCCATGAATTCAGTGGAACATGTAGTAGTCTCTTATTTTATAATTTTAAAACTCTCTCCTCATCTGTAGTCATGTCTTCTTTCTTGGGTTTAATCTTGTCTGTTTTTGTGTTTTCATTATTTATAGTTTTAGTCAGGTTAGTAAGTACTTGATCTATTTTTGGTTGCTTTATAGAACCTGGTTTTGGAGATATATATATATATGTATCTGATATATATATATATAGTTATATATCTACACGGTCAAAAGGTGTGTATTTATTCCTTTCCCTTTTGCCTTCTTTAATCCTCATTTTCTATTCTGCTTTATTTACTTAATATCATGTTTTCCCCCATTTTATTACAAACTCATCATCCACATCATTTTAAAATTAAACTTTCTATATTTTGAGATAATTATATAATATAATGAATATGATATCATAATACAGATGCAGTTGTAAGAAGACTACAGAGAGATCCTATGTACCCTTCACTTAGTTTCCTCCAGTAGTAACTTTTGCAAAACTGTACTAAAATGTGACAACCAGGATATTGACATTGGCACTGTCAAGGTATAGAACAGTTCCATCACCATGAGGGTCTTCCCTGTTGCCCTTTTATTTTTTTTAAAAAATTTTTAAAGATTTATTTATGAGAGAGAGAGAGTGAGCATGAGCAGGAGGGGCAGAGGGAGAGAGAATCTTAAGCAGACTCTGTGCTGAGTGTAGAGCCCAACGTGGGGCTCGATCTCATGACCCTGAGATCACGACCTGAGCTGAAACCAAGAGTTGCATGTTTAACTGACTGCGCCACCCAGGCGCCCTCCTGTTGCCCTTTTAGAGCCACTCTCATTACTCTCCCACCTGTATCCTGTCCCTGACCCCTGACAACTCATCTGTTCTCCATGTTTGAACCTTTGTTATTTCAAGAATGCTATATAAAGGGCGCCTGGGTGGCTCAGTTGGTTAAGCGACTGCCTTCGGCTCAGGTCATGATCCCGGAGTCCCGGGATCGAGTCCCACATCTGGCTCCGGCTCAGCGGGGAGCCTGCTTCTCCCTCTGACCCTATCCCCTCTCATGCTGTTTCTCTCTCTCTGTCAAATAAATAAAAATAAACAAAATCTTAAAAAAAAAAAAAGAATGCTATATAAATGGAATCATATAGTATGTTACCTTTGGGATTGGCCTTTTTTTTT